GATGAGAGGAGGAGGAGAGGGGTGTAGATGAGAGAGGGGGGAGAGGGTGTAGATGAGAGAGGGAGGAGAGGGGTGTAAAGGAGAGAGGGGGAGAGGGTGTAGATGAAAGAGGGAGGAGAGGGATGTAGATGAGAGAGGGAGGAGGGGGTGAGGAGTAGAGAGGGAGGAGAGGGTGTAGGTGAGAGGAGGGAGAGGGGTGTAGGGTGAGAGAGGGGAGGAGAGGGATGGAGCAGAGAGGTGAGGAGAGGGATGTAGATGAGAGAGGAGGAGAGGGGTGTAGATGAGAGAGGAAGGAGAGGGTGCAGGAGAGAGGGAGGAGAGGGATGTAGATGAGAGGGAGGAGAGGGGTGAGATGAGAGAGGAGGAGAGAGGGTTTTAGATGAGAGAGGGAGGAGAGGGATGTAGGAAAGGGGAGGAGAGGGGTGTAGATGGAGAGAGGAAGGAGAGGGTGCAGTGAGGAGGGAGAGAGGGATGTAGATGAGAGGGAGGAGGAGGGTGTAGGTGAGAGGAGGGAGGAGAGGGGTGTAGATGGAGAGAGGGAGGAGAGGGGTGTAGGTGAGAGAGGAGGAGAGGGATGTAGATGAGAGGGGTGAGGAGAGGGATATGAGAGGAGTGTAGATTAAAGACGGAGGGAGAAGAGGTGTGTGTGTGTGTGTGTGTGTGTGTGTGTGTGTGTGTGTGTGTGTGTGTGTGTGTGTGTGTGTGTGTGTGTGTGTGTGTGTGTGAGAGCGCGCGCTGGAAGAGGAGGAAGAGTAAGTGAGAGAGATTTATATAAGAGGGCTGGGAGAGGTAGAACGGGTTGTTGGAGAGGGCTTGAAAGGGGTGTTAGAGAGGTTGAGAGGGAGAGGTAGGGAATGGAAGAGAGGGGAGGTTGTGGATAGGAGAGAGATGGGGCAGAGGAGAGGGAGGAGAGGGAGGACATGGAAGGTTGAAAGAGGAGGCAGGGAGAGGGAAGAAAGGGGAAGGTAGGAGATAGGAAGGAGGGTGGAAATGGGAGAGGGAGAGGGTGAAGGAGGTGAGGGAGGAGAGGAGGTAGGAGAAGGATGGAGAGGGAGGGAAGGAGGAGTGGGCAGAGTAGGAGAAGGATGGGAGAGGAAGGAGGAGAGATGGGAGAGGTAGGTGAGAAGGATGGAGGGAGGGAGAGGGAAGGAGGAGGATGGGCAGGAGGTAGGTGAGAAGGATGGAGGGAGGGGAGAGGGAAGGAGGAGAGATGGGCAGGAGGTAGGTGAGAAGGATGGAGGGAGGGGAGAGGGAAGGAGGGAGAGATGGGCAGGGAGGTAGGTGAGAAGGATGGAGGGAGGGGAGAGGGAAGGAGGGAGAAAGCAATGAAGTAAGGGAGTGGAGGAGATTGAGTTGAAGGTTGACAAAAAGTAAAACAGAAAAGGAAAGTATATGAAAAGAAGGATGATAAAACAAGAGACGGAATTAAAGAAACGATAGAAAGTTGTAGTATGAGAGAGAGAGAGAGAGGTTACTATTAAACCTGACACCTCTGTGTATAAGAAATAATACAGGAAATTCAGTCTCACAGATATACTGTATTTTTTCCCAGGATTAACAGCGGAAATTACAAGTTCACTCTCCTTCAAACACACAAGTAATTGCTAATTAAAGAAGTTAAATTGGCCTTACTTCTTTTTTACACCTCGAGGCTTTTATTGACTAATTGGGATCATGTTTATAGCTGTTATGATTTAGTATAAATATTCGGCGTGACTGGGAAAACAAATTGTCAACATTATTTTTTAAGTTCTGTGATTTATTTGACTGGTTTTAGGTCGGGATAATTCAAGTTCCAGTACTTTTTCTTTTTTATATGGGTTCGGTTATCTTCAAAGGGTATATTGGTTCAGGGTTTGGGATGGTGGGTTTCATGGGGTTCAAGATGGTGGGTTCATGGGCTTGGGATGGTGTCTGGGCTTAGGATGGTGGGTTCATGGGCTTGGGATGGTGGGTTCAGAGTTTTCGTGATGGTGGATTCAAGGGTTCAGGGTGTTAGATTCAAGGGTTTGGGATGCTGGGCTCAGGGGGTTCGTATTTCCGAGGCTCTAGGTTCAACGTTCGGCTTTTTCAGAACAGACCTATTTTCAATCCGAAATACCTCGTCATACCCAATTTGTCCTTCTGATACTAATATGAATTTTAAGTAGGACCTACATTGGGATAGTTTGGATATCCTACAGTTTCAGATCCTACAATATATACGCTGAAGGATATTACATGCCACCGAAGGGATCCTAAAAGTGGAGTCCATAGCTACATATATATATATATATTTATATATATATATATATATATATATATATATATATATATATATATATATATATATATATATATATATATATATATATATATATATAATAGGAGATGAAGTTGTCCTCGACGGTCAGTGTGTCAGTTCTTGTAATGAAGGAAGCAGCAGTGGACCTCCTGAAAACACACAAAGGCTGGCTGTCAGGTGACCGCGGATGGAGCAAAGACCCTTCCCCTGTCAGGTGGCTGCGGATGGACCAAAGACCTTCCCCTGTCAGGTGGCCGCGGATGAACCAAAGACCCTTCCCTGTCAGGTGGCCGCGGATGACCACAAGGACCCTCCAACCTGACTGATGGCCACGTATGGACCAAAGACCCTCCTCTTGACAGGTGGCCATGGATGGACCAAGGACCCTCCTCCTCCTGACAGGTGGCCACGTATGGACCAAAGACCTCCCTGATAGGTGGCCACGGATGAACCAAAGAACTTCCTCCTCTTGACAGGTAGCCACGGATGGACCAGGGACTCCTCTCCTTGACAGGTGGGCACGAATGACCAAAACCCTCCTCCCCTGACAGTCACGGGCGAATCAAGCGCGCTCTTCAGGTCTAGTCCCTACCAGAACACTACGGTCATCCCTCCCAACCTTTCTGGTTACTGACGTAGGGTGTTGTATGATGGTGTTGTAGGTGTGTAGGGTGATGTTGTAGGGTCGTGTTGTAGCGACTTGAAGGGTAGTATTGCAGGGTGACGTAGGATAGTGTTGGGTTGTGTAGAATGATTTAGGAAGGTGTATCATAGTGACGCTATTGGATACTACAGGGTTAAGGTTTGGTTGCGGAAAGGAGTGTGTATTGCTAAAGATGCGTGAGGGCTGAAGGCTGCCCCGTGATGCTGGGTGACAGGGGATCGTGTAGGGTGATGTAGGGAAAGGTCTACCACCCATAATACTTATCTTACTCAACGAATCGTTTAACAGGTTACTTGTTTTCCGTTGTTTTTTAGATTACTGTGAATTAGAATCTAAGGCCCGCCTCTAGGTGTTTTGTCGTGTTTACAGTATATTGTTCAATGTATTGACATATTTGTGTAAGTCTTTTAGTTTGTATGACAAGATAATTTTGTTTAACATTAGATAATACTGTATCCTAACGTCGAGTATCATTGCATCCATTTATTATCTTTACACTCAAGGTAAGTTTCTACACTGACAACATCTTATCAATGACAAAACAACTATGCCAGTTGAACTTGTGGATGGAAAGTGTTTGTACGGGAGCTTGTGGTTGGTTAAGAAGTAGTCAGTTGTTGACTGCAGGGCCGTCCATTACGTCAAGACAACAAGTCCTGGTTGAAATGTTTCAGATATCCCCAACCAGGTCTTGTCTTGACGTAATGGACACCGTAATAATGAACACTATACCGTGTGCCATCCGCCAGATGCAGCCGTAGTAATAACTTAAGATAATATACACGCAAAGATGTTAAATGATCCCTTCTTGGTAACTGTGAAGGAAGGTAAAACCATCTGTGCTGACTGGTGAACAACTACACACCATTCATAACAATTACCCGCCCAGCCAGTCAACAACTGACTATGCACGGAAAGTTCGTATACCTTTGTGTGAAAAGTGAAGGGTCGGTTAACTTAATTCTGTCAGAATATCAGAGTTGACCTGCACCTGACTAGTGTTACTCAGGTGTGCTGCACCACGTGTAAGATCTTCAAGTCACCGTCACGAGTGGTGTTCGTTTTCTAACTGTTAAATTGTGGTGAGTCTTCGACCACTGTGACTTGGTTGTGTCTTAGAACTTTCCGTGAGGAAGAAAGGAATCATGATATAATGTCCTGAAGGACGACGGCCCAGTTAGGAGGAAAGGAACGATATATGAATATGGTCTACAGTAGCTTTATCTTCATATTCTTATTTTTGGGGAGAGGGAGGGGTAGTGCAGGACCACTGGAAGGAGGAAGTGGTTCAGGGCCACGGGATGGGGTAATGTGGTCCAACGCCACTGGAAGGGGCAGTAAATTATAATATTCAGTTGACACAGAAAGGACGACACCAATATTTCGCTAATGTGTACACCGTGACAAAAGTTCGTTCCCCTGGGTGAAACTGAACCACGGGAATGAATCTCCGAATTTACTTACTATCATCTGGTGCGGGTGTGTTGTTTTATCTCATCTGGAGTCGATGTTGCTTCAGTTTGGGAGGGGTGAACTTTTGACCTTTAATGTACAGTCCCCAAAAATGTATCGTTAGATTTTCCGTCGCTTCATTTTGAAAGCCTTGGCGAAATGCTTTATATGATCCCCAGTGCATCACCATAAGTTGGTACGCCTGCTCACCATATCAGCAATAGCTAGAGATGGGGAGGAATCGTCCTAGTGACACACTATAATAGATACTTCAATATAACAAGAAATCCACGTGTAAAAGCCTCTGACTGATGATTACAATAACACTGAAATATACATTGAATGGAAATGTTTCGAACATCATGAAAGACAGACCTCAAAACGGACATTTCACCAGTACGTCGTTATATTAACGTAGTTTCATTTATGCTGAGTTTCACAGCTTCACAATATGCCTACTCAAGTTGTTCACGATATATCTGATTTATGAAGAGTGACAAAATAATACTTGATATTAGAGTGAACAGCTACAGCAATATAACACTATATCGCTGCATATAAGATCTCCCATGTTACTGATATGTAAATGTTTCAAATCAGTGGACTTGCAGGCAACAGAACCCCGTCCACCTACAGAAGGACATTTGTGTAAGTTTCAGTGTGGCAGCAGTTGTTTCATGGCGCCTAACCCATCGCGATACTGTGGGTTCGCTTACCCAGTTCTCCTTGTTATATATCAGCGTTACGTATACCTCTGTTGTGAAGCCCAATAATAGCACCTCTCGCATCTTATGTCACCCTGTTGATTCCTCGCTCCATTCGATGTAAGATCCCGTTGATGACTGGCATGATGGTGTCCATTTACAACATCCACTTTGAGTCGGGTAATATATGATCTGAAGCCTCGGATGATCACATATTCGATAACGCATACTGTATACTCATTCATGCTCAAAGGTCGCGGATTTAGAACTGCCAACCGTTCAGAAAGAGGTTGAGTAACATTGCTCGGAAAGCCTCGAATCACATCGACCCCATGACAACGATACTGTTGGAACTGTACAGTACAATATAGATAAAGTGGGATAAGTTTTAAACTGAGAAAAAAAGAATTGAAGATTAAAAGATGACTGGTGATGTTACTTGTTATTTTATTATCAATAACTGTGACCTACAGCATCTTGTCACTTCTTATTTCTTGTTGTGTGTTACCATTTTGCTTGAGTTAGGAAAGTTATCATAATTTTATTTTATACTATGACACCGTGGTTAACTTTCATAATTCAATGACCCTAAGACTCAAATGCTTCATAAACTCTAAGATCTGGCAGTGACTACCGTTGAGTCCCCAGATAATAACCACTTAACTATAAACATCTTAATATGTCACATATATAAAAGCCTTCAGTGCAGTAATGGTGTAAGGAATGAATTATTGACTATGTTATGTTTTGTGTTTATATGCCCAGTGCCTCACCCGATGTTCTCTTGTTTTGGTCCACAGGAGGATGAAGGCTTCATTAGGAAGAAGAGCGGCCACTCCCGGATAACGAGTTCCAGAGGAAAGTGTGGCTGCTCGAGTACCCGGAGAGCTCGCAGAACGCGCGTGGTGGCCATCATCTCCGTCTTCGTTATCCTCCTTTCCATTGTGATCTTTGCCTTGAGACACTACCGGAATTCAAGCACTACAAGGTGTTCAATACCACGACCAACGGCACTGTGGAGGAAGACGAAGTGCCCGAAGTCACGGATCCTTTCTTCCTCATAGAAACCATTTGTATCGTTTGGTTTTCCACTGAACTATTAGTGAGATTTTCGCGTCGCCACCAAAGGAGTGCGGAAAGACGTCATGAACATTATCGATATAGTAGCTATCATTCCTTACTTTATTACATTGGCGACTGTGGTAGCCGAAGAGGAGGGAGAGGTGATGGTCATCCCTGCAGAGACACTTTCCCCGCACGAGAAGGGTCCAAACCAGGCCATGTCTTAGCCATTCTACGAGTTATTCGACTGGTCCGAGTATTCAGAATATTCAAATTGTCTCGACACTCCAAGGACCCAGATTCTAGGAAGAACGCTCAAGGCATCCATGAGAGAACTCGGTCTGCTAATATTCTTCCTCTTCATCGGTAAGTCTGCCAAAATCTCCATTTGTTGTAGCCTCACCACTGTCAATCTGTCAATACCCAGCATTGGCAGCTACGAGTCTGCCTCTTGGCGTAGACTCTGTGACCCCTTTCTTGCTGTTCTTGTCCTGAGTGTAGGTGTAAAGTAGACGACACCCACTGAGTAGAATATATTAACTCTATAAAGATCTTTAACTTGTAGATATTGATAACAATGCATAAAGTTAGCGAATATTATATCGAGTTAGAAGTATTTCATCATTATCAGACTTCTGGAACAGCTTTGTATCTTGTGAGATGATATTTGTTGTAGACCATCGTTAGGTAGACGTTCTTTAAAATACATAATTATATTCCATCTTGTAAACGCTTAAAACTTAATATCATGTTATTCACAAATATTTTCTTGAGCTCTTGTTTTGTAGAGTGGAGACCACACGGCTCTCATTATCCATAACTATAGCGTCGTGTCACTTGATGTTAGTTACAGTTTGTCATATTTCGTAAGTGTATTTGTATGTTGAATGTCTTGATAGTAATATATAAAGGTGATAGTCATCATTTAGCTATAACTATATTCTTGTTAATTCTGTAAATATATTATAAGTAGTTATATCGGCGTTATGGGGAACAAAAACTAGATAAAAAATTTCTTCTGCAGTTCCCAATTTACTATCGTAGACATTTTTCACGATTAGCAACTGCCAGTGATTTTGTGTATATATGAATATACAGATTGTTACTTTTCAGGATGCTTGTGTGTTCATGTGTGGCTTATAGCTTGTTGGGAGCTTGTCTGTTTGTCCTCCGTGCATGTCGCAAAACTCTTCTACTCTGTCTCTTTAGTCAAATTATTAAAGCCGTTAATACCGTTAAGGACGGACTCTGCAGGGTAACTCAAGCTTGAGGGTGATGAGCTGGTGGTGGCTGGGGAACCACTGAGTTGTATCTCTTGTAAAGTTTTTTATAGCATGCTCCGATGACTTAGGCTTCCTTCTTAACTGTGAAGGGATGTAGGGACCAAGTAATGTGCTAGACAACAGTTAGTTCTTTTTCAAGGTTTCTGCATTTTTTATTATTGTTTTATTTTAACTAGAGTAGGTTAGACTATTAGCCACCGCTCTGACCTTAGCAGTTCTCTTGTCAACTTTGTATCTTTACATGATAATGCAACGTAACGTTGGTTCACTCTTTTATATTAGTTGGTTTGTTTTACGGGTTTAGGCATCCCTCCTTAGTTAGTGTTAAAGAAAATTTTTATGATTTATGTAATAAAAAGGAAATAATATCAGCTTGTTCTGTAGTGCTTCCTTATTGGGGAATATTTTATGGACAGCGGAACACTGAAAGAAATTAATGGTATTATATCACTTAAAATTTAATGTTCCATCATTATCATAATTTAACCTCAAAGCAGGAAAATTGTGATATTTAGACAGTAGTGTTTGATAGCACCATACCTTAAGAGTTTGTAATTGGTTGCACTGAAAGGTTACAGGTAGCGGTGTGGAGCACAAACTCTTGTACCTCGTATCTGTTTCTAACGAGGTGAGGAGAGCAGAACAAGAACCCCGTACTCGACTCCGGGTCTCCTGACGGTGTCGACTTTATCTTTCCATGAGTCCTTGGCCTTAATCGCTGCCAGCTGTAAGATAGTAGATAGTCACCCTTGTGAGTACGGAGATCCGCCCATACCGCATTTGTGCACAACTTATGTGAAGTTGATTCTCAAACTGAGTATTAACCACAGTGTTAGTCAAATATACGTAGGCGACGTGTACCTGCATATCCGAGAGCGTTACAACCTAAACCCCAGCGATGAGGCGCCGTTACCTTAGTCCTATGACAGGGTGCTACGGCCAGAATCGTCGAAGCTGCGCCTTGCAAATACTGACCTGTCGTCCATCAATGCTCGTGAGATCTCTGAATTTAGTGGCTGGTTTGTTTTTCTTGAGTATCGAGTGGTGAGGGAGCCACACACCGATGGTGCCGAGTGGGTGGCACCTCTGGCACTTCTCTCAAGTTTGTATAGGAGCCTCGTTCTCCTTTGTTTGTCGTGTTTGTTCCTTGTGTTATTCTGAAGCTCTTTTTGTTATTCTCGAAGCTCTTGTTTGTCGTGTTTGTTCCTTGTGTTATTCTCGAAGCCTTTTGTTTGTCGTGTTTGTTCCTTGTGTTATTCTCAGTTTTTTGTTTGTCGTGTCCTGTTTGTGTTATTATTCAGTGTCTTTGTCGTGTCTTTTTTTTTTTTATTAACCCTTTTGATTTGTCTCTGTTTACATACCCTGGAACACCATTGTTTGTCATACTTTAACTTATTAGTTTCTAATCCTTTAGTTTACAATACTGTATAGTCATCTGTGTCACATCTTACCGTAATGCCTTTTATCTCTTGTTAGTCATATCCTAGTTTACAGTTTATCCTATTTACAGTTTATCCTAGTTTACAGTTTATCCTAGTTCAATAGTCAATCTAGTTTATACAGTCTATCCTAGTTTACAGTCTAGAGTCATCTAGTTACAGTCTATTCAAGACAGTCTATCCTAGTTTACAGTCTATTCAAGTTTACAGTCTATCCTAGTTTACAGTCTATCCTAGTTTACAGTCTATTCAAAGTCTATCCTTTACAGTCATCAGTTACAGTCATCCAGTTTACAGTCTATCCTAGTTTACAGTCTATTCAAGTTTACAGTCTATCCTAGTTTACAGTCTATCCTAGTTTACAGTCTATCCTAGTTTACAGTCTATCCTAGTTTACAGTCTATTCAAGTTTAAGTCTATCCTAGTTTACAGTCTATCCTAGTTTACAGTCTATTCAAGTTTACAGTCATCCTAGTTTACAGTCTATCTAGTTTACAGTCTATCATAGCATAGTCTATCCTAGTTTACAGTCTATCCTTTACAGTCATAATAGTTACAGTTTATCCTAGTTTACAGTCTATCATAGTTTACAGTCTATCCTAGTTTACAGTCTATCCTAGTTTACAGTCTATAATAGTTACAGTTTATCCTAGTTTACAGTCTATCCTAGTATATCCTAGTTACAGTCTATCCTAGTTTACAGTCTATTCAAGCTTCATACAGTTCAGCATCCTAGTTTACAGTCTATTCAAGTTTACAGTCTATCCTAGTTTACAGTCTATCCTAGCTTATAGTCTATATAGTTTAGTCTATCCTAGTTTACAGTCTATTCAAGTTTACAGTCTATCCTAGTTTACAGTCTATCCTAGTTTACAGTCTATCCTAGTTTACAGTCTATCGTTGTCTAGTTTACAGTCTATCCTAGTTTACAGTCTACCTGTTTACAGTCTATTCAAGTTTACAGTCTATCCTAGTTACAGTCTATCCAGTTTACAGTCATAATAGTTTACAGTCTATCCTAGTTTACAGTCTATTCAAGCTACAGTCTATCCTAGTTTACAGTCCATTCTAATCTATCCTAGTTTACAGTCATCCTAGTTACAGTCTATAATAGTTTACAGTCTATCCAAGTTTACAGTCTATCCTAGTTTACAGTCTATTCAAGTTTACAGTCATCTTTACAGTCTATCATAGTTTACAGTCTATCCTAGTTTACAGTCTATCCTAGTTTACAGTCTATAATAGTTTACAGTCTATCCTAGTTTACAGTCTATTCAAGTTTACAGTCTATCCTAGTTTACAGTCTATCTAGTTTACAGTCTATAATAGTTTACAGTCTATCCTGTTACAGTCTATTCAAGTTTACAGTCTCCTAGTTTACAGTCTATCCTAGTTTACAGTCTATCCTAGTTTACAGTCTATCCTAGTTTACAGTTTTTTACAGTCTATTCAAGTTTAGTCTATCCCTAGTTTACAGTCTATAATAGTTTACAGTCTATTCAGTTTACAGTCTATCTAGTTTACAGTCTATCCTAGTTTACAGTCTATAATAGTTTACAGTCTATCCTAGTTTACATAGTTTATCCTGGTCTATGAATTCTTGTTATTTTCTGTCATATTTTTAACTTTGATAGCTGAGTGAGTGGCCTTCTGCTGGCACGTCATTGCTCGAATCTCATGACTCCTCCTCCTCCTTGTCCAGCCTCGTGTAACGCTGTGAGTCATATCATAGCCTCATTCTTCACTCGTTTCATAGCTTCGTTTAATGTTGTTGTTGTTTGGCTTTCAGTTAAAGAATTTCACTCTTCTTTTGTTTTACTTTCTGTGTTTTTGTTGACATAGATCCGGATGTCTTTTGTCTTGTGGAAGTTTTATGTCTGTTGTTTGTTAGGACTTTTATTGCTATGGATAACTTTTTGTTTGTCAAGTCTAATAGTTGTATATACCCTAGTCTTATATATAATGTTATATATCTAAGTCATATTTTATATAACCATCGTTTATCTGGACATATTTTATAGTGTCATATATCTTCCTGGCAATTGTTTTATAATTATTGTATATCTTTATCATGTCTTATTTAGCTCCATATATCTTTTTCCATGTCTTAGATAGCTCAGTATATCTGTCCTATCAGAAACTAATACACGGTCATATACCACCGTTGTATGAATTACCGTATTGTTGTTATGTCTCAACACCAGAGCTTCCTATATATCCACTATGTCTTAATTCTTATATCTTTGCCATGTCTTACCTTATATATGCTTGTGTGTGTCTATTGTATCGTGAAATATCTTATACAAATAGTTTTATTTCTTTCTTGCTAGCTAAGGTTATATATACAGTAGATATACCCTAAGATTATTCTATTTCATACCCAGCTAATTACTGTACATATTAGCTTTGAACGTATATAACTCCGGGTGCTATAGAGCTATGATATTATGTTTTGTCTTCCTCAATTTCATATATTCCTTAATATTGTCCCAATCGTATAGAGCTCAGTACGGTTACCTTGATCTTATAGCTGATATACTTTGCTTGTCATTATAGCTTCGAATAGCCTCCTTGATAAATTTCTTCATCTCCGTAGCTTTTATATTTAGTACTGATAGCTCTTACATAATACTGATAGCTTTTA